GAGCGGAGGGCGGGCTCTGCCCTTTTCCGAGGGGACTACGTTCCGCGGCGGAAGGACACGGTGGGCCGTCCAGAGGAGACGGTGACTGAACCCGGGGGCCAATCCGGAGCTGCTGGGGGCGGGGCGCACCCCCCCCCAGGCGGGCTCCTCCGGACCCCCGGGCGCCCCGCACACCTGTTGCCGGCCCGGGCCGCCCGCACCCGGCTCCTTTTCTGGCCGCCGGCCCAGGTCGCCCCAGCTGCCCCGGCCTTATCTACACGGGAACCAGATTTATGGGTCCCCGGCGGCGCCCCCAGCCCCGCCCTGCGGCGGGAAGGCAGTGGGGGGGGGGGGGAGACGATCGCCGGCCGGGGCCGCCCTCCGAGGAGCGGGACTCCGGGAACGGGCGCCGGCTGTGCTCGGAACGAGGAAGCGCAGGGCGGGCCGGGCCCGGGGCGCGCCGGGAGGCCTCTGACCGGGTCGCACTGGCCCCCCAAGGAAGGACCCATTGGGAGCCTCGGGGCCGGAGATCTACCTAGGAGCCTGCACTCCTGCTGTGCCCGGCCCAGGCGTGTCTGTCGACCCGGTGCTAGTGGAGTCTGTCTGGGCATTCTCCCCGCCGCTGCCCGGCGGGTCCCTTCGCTCTCAGCGCTTGGCCTGCACCAGGGCAAGTCTTCGGAGCAGATATTTTACAAAGTGGCCTGGAGTTCACTCACTGAGAGCACGGAGGGGCGGGGGGAGTCTAAAACTGAATTGGTTTGCAGTTGGGAAGTCTATTTCTTCTATAAGCAATTGCTGGTCTGTTCTATTTATTTCTGTACCCGTCCTGGGGCTTGAACTCAAGCCCTGGGTGCTGCTCATGGCTAGTACTCTACCACTCAACCCACACAGCTCCACCGCCGGCTTTTCCCCTCCCTCCCTCCCTCCCTCCCTTCCTTCCTTCCTTCCTTCCTTCCTTTCTGTCTTTCTGTCTTCCTTTCTGTCTTTTTTGTTTTTGTTGGTTAATTGAAGATAAGAGCCTTATGGACTTTCCTGCCCAGACTGGCTTGGAACCAGGATCCTCAGGTCTCAGCTTCCTGAAAAGTTAAGATTACAGGTGTGAACCACCAGCCAGGTTGCTAGTCTACTTAGTTAGGGAAGTACTGGCTTGGTTAAGGTAGAGAGAGAGAGAGAGCAGGGGAGGAAACAAACCAGGTGTCATCATTGACACCCTTCTGGGCTGAGGGAACACTAAGAAGAGTGATGGACACAGAACAGTAACCCTGCTGGTGCCAAACTAACTCACATTTTAAAGTTGGTTTTTTTTTTTTTTTTTGGTCTGGTCGTGGGGTCTGAACTCTGGGCCTGGGCACTGTCCCTCAGCTCTTCAGCTCAAGGCTAGTGCTCTACCACTTGAGTCACAGCGCCACTTCTGGCTTTTTTCTTTCTGCTTATGTGGTGCTGAGGAATGGAACCCAGGGCCTCGAGCATGCAAGGCAAGCGCTCTACCACCGAGCCACCTTCCCAGCCCCACATTTTAAAGTTTTAAAGCACAGTCACTCCTGTAACCCCAGCATTCTGATTCAGAAGAGTCTGATGGTTATAAAAATGTCATCCACATTGAGGAAGGAGGGAAGGACTGGGAGAGAATGATAGAACAGATGACACTGTGCAAAACGACATGTAGTTCTTATCTGACAGATGTAAATGTCACCCTTGTGTGTATCACCTCTATAATAGCCAAGCACATTATAAAAATAAGTGTCCTCCAGGAGACACGTCCATCATTTCCTTAGCTCACATTAAATGTGCATGCTGGTTTTAAGGAGATCTCTGTCTTGGTTTTGCTGAGAAGACAGTGGCAATATGGAAGAGCCCCACAGGTTTTATCTTATCTTTGTTCTAATTCTGCACACTCGCCCAGTGGCTATATGCCATAATTTAAAGTGCAAGAATCCAGTTCCTTTGAAGGTGAAAGCTGGGCCAGAGAGTTCACGCCTATGAATCCAGCTACTCAGGAAGTGGAGGAACTGAGTAGCTGGAAGTGACTCATTCAAACACGCATACTAAAGGGGCTGAGGGTCCTTGCTTAGCAAGAGGGAAGTCCAAAGTTCAAACCCCAGTCCTGGTAAGACAAGCCAACAAAATGCTGAGGACGTGGTTCAAATGATAGGAAAATTAAGACTTTCCCTAATGAGCTCCAAGCCAGGCCTTGGCTTCCAGCCCCAGCACTGGAAACGGGGGAAGCGGGGAGAACATTGAGGACAATGCTTGTTCTATAGGGTGAGGTTTGACCTCATGTTTATATGTGAAGGCCCTAGAAGCCTCCCTTGGAGGACTGATTGGTCTTGGAGGAGTGTCCTTTTTGAATTCAAGTTTGACCTTCACCCTAAACAAGTACCTGCAGTATCTGAGAATGGACGAGATTGCTCTGTATGCCATCCTTGGCCAGAGGCACAGGATTTGGAGTTTAATGGTTTACCTGGAGTTCTTGTGAGCAGGGTTGTGTGTGTGTAAGACCACATTGGACCCCATCCTGGAAGCACCAAGGCAAGCTTGATTGTGAGAGCTGGGCCTGGCACAGCACAGCAGATCTCTTGCAGGTCTTGGGGATGTCAGCTTTAAGGCAGAAATACTAGTCCAGACTTGATGCGCCCTTCCTAGAGCTAGACCAGGAGACTCCACAGAGGCCTTTCTCAGCCTTCCAAAGTCTCAAAGCTCCTCTAAATCCTGCAGGGAAGGAAAAGCCAGCCTTCTGCGGTTGGGGATGAAGACAAGGGAGAGTTCATAGAGAAGACAATTGAGCCACACATGAAGGTAGGTGAGGCAGAGCCTGGAATGGATGTGTGGTGCCCCGGGGGCTGGGGGGGTGTGAACCCTGCAGGAAATATAAGGCTGAGTATTCTGATGGCCCGTGTGCACACAGGTTTTCCCAGGTTCTGGTATAATGCCTTTGCTGCACTTGGAAGCAGGAAGCAGATATCCAGGAAGAACTGTCCCTGCCAAGGTGACCTTGTCACCCCATGTGACCTGCCACATTCTTCCAGGGAGGCACCAAGCTGTCCTTTCCCCTAGCCCAGGCTCCTGGTGTGCACGTGGGAGTGCAAAGACCTTAACCTCCAGAGTACCCATTCCAAGGACAGGGCAGAGATTGAAGCTTTGTGACTCACAGGGTGGTGGGATGAGATGAGATGGGGTCTCTTTAAGATTCAGAGGACCAGATCCTGTGCTCTTCTCCCCGCTGGGCTTCAGCGCCTTAGACTTCCCACCCACCCACCCACATGTCTGTCCAGAACACTGGCTGCCAGCTCCCTGACCCACTTACTCCAAGGACACCCTGGACAAGGGGACTTGGCAATGCCTTGGCTTCCACTGGCATCTCTGGCCACCGGTGGGTGGTGGGCAGTGCTGTGCTCCGGGGCTGGCTGCCTCTTCAAAGAAACTGGAACCCACCTACTCCCACTGCCCCCAGAGCCCCCAGAAGGCTCCAGGGAGCCATGAAGACCCTCCACCTCCCTTAGTCCCAGAAGCCAAGACATCCCCAGATGTCCATCCAAATCATCTCAGAAGCTGGCACGTACACAAGCCAGTAATGACTCAGCAGCTGCCTCCTGCCCCCCCTCCAACCAGAACCCCCGGCTGAGGCTCCTCCCCAAGATGGCCACATCCTCCCCACAACCTGAGTCACAGCCACACCCAGCCTGCACGGAAAAGTACCAGAAGAGCAGGGATGGGGGGTTCAGCCCAGAGATCTTGACTCCTCAGTCCAGAAATCACAGTCAGCGACTGCAGCTGGAGCTAATTGAATTCCTTTCCTGACTCTACCTCTAAACTAGTATGTCCAGATCTAAATGAAGCCAGTGGCCTGAATCCAGGACCAGGTGAAGGGCAGGCCAAAAGCCTGGACCCCTGTGAAGGGTGAGGCCTGCGGCTCCCACCAGGCCTACACAGATGCCAGCTCCCCTCCCCTCTCAAATGGCTAGGCCAGGCTGGGGGGAAGGGAGGGTCAGCCCTGCCTCAATTTCCCCTCCAGGCTGTAGGAGGAAACTCAAGATCCTGCCCAGCAAGCTGCCCAACAAGGAAGGCATTCTTGTGTTCATAAAGTTCAGATTGATTTGTTTTACCTCACCTTTAAACTTTATCAGCTACAATTATCAGGAACATCATGGTTCAGGCCAGTGTGGCAGAAGAGTCTGGGAGATTCTGTGAGGGGAAGCGGGGCAGGTACCAGTACCTAGGCTCAAACCCAGGCCGAAAGTGTTATCCTACCTCAACAATAATCTGTGCAAGGCCTCGCACCAGTGGCTTACACCTGTAATCCTAGCTACTCAAGAGGCTGAGATCTAGGGCTGGGAAGGTGGCTCAGTGGTAACAGTGCTGGCCTTGCATGCATGAGACCCTGGGTTCGATTCCTCAGCACCACATTAGCAGAAAAAGCTGGAAGTGGTGCTGTGGCTCAAGTGGTATAGCCCTACCCTTGAGCTGAAGAGCTGAGGGACAGTGCCCAGGCCCAGAGCTCAGACCCCACGACTGACCAAAAAAAAAAAAAAGAGGCTGAGATCTGAGGATCATAGTTTGAAGCCAGGCTAGGCAGAAAAGTTTGTGAAACTCTAATTCTAATTAACCAGCAAAATGCCAAACGGGAGGCGTAGCTCAAGTGGTAATGAGCCAGCCAAACAAGCAAGCCAAGCAAGCAAGCCAAACAAGCATGAGGTTCTGACTTCAAACCTAACTAGCAGTAAAAGAAAAAAATAAATTGTAGCATACAATACTCCAGGAAGAACAAACAATTTCAGGATATACCACTCCCCAGCACTCACACACACCTGAGGGCCTGGGGGAGCTGCGCAAACCACAGTGATCGTATCCAGGCCACAGCACCTTCCATTTTATTGTTTTATTTACAAACAGGGTGAAGTCAAGTGGGCAAGTCAGGGACTGGAGTCAGTCTGGGCATTCCACGCGTGGTGTGGATCCTGGGTCAGTCTCCACCAGGAAGGCCACCTCTTCCAGCCTTCCTGCCCCGTGGTAGCGGCCCCTCCGCTCCTCAGGGCACTCTCTCCTCTTGCTCCTGAGCCCTGTTATGAGGGCAGAAGGGTCCTGGGGAACAGGGTGGCGGAGGGCGGGGCCCTCAGTTTGTGTAAACCTGAGTTCCAATCACACGCATGATCTCCTTCTGTATCTTGGGGTCCTGAGTGTTAATGTTGGCATCGCCCACCTGACCATCCTCATATCTGCCAAAGACAAGGTGAACGTGAGCAGATGCAGGTAAACATTACCAGAGTAACAGGGAACTGTCAACAAAGTATAACCATCCCACCCCCAAAGTTGAGCCTTTCCCAAGTGGAAGGATTCCATGTATTTGACTTCTTCTACGCAGACCCCAGCCATCTGTTCTCATCTCCAGCTCCAGTGCCACTCAGACGGCAGGGGCCAAGTCTCAGACCACAGAGCCAGCCTGTGCCACAGTCATACACCCACCCTCACGCCGGTAGCCCCCAGGGTCCCTCATGGGCTTACACAAAGAAGAACCGTGTGCAGACATGGTCGGACACAGGGCATACCCAGATGTTGCCATGCTTCTGGAGGTCCTTAGATGTGATCACTGGAGATGGGAGGGGAGGCACAGATAACAAGACACACAATTCAGCTCAGGAAGGGAAGTAAGGAGGCTTCAAAGCACCTCTGGGTGCATCCAGAGATGCATCAGAAGTCTATGTTAAGGATCCCCCTAAAACGGGAACTCTGAGCGACTGACCTACCTTCGCAAAGTGCTATACAGTTTAGATTCCGACTCTGCAGGAACCTTGACTGAATGGATCGGGTCTGCAGGAGGGAAGTAAAGGAGGGCAGAACCAGACAGAACATTAGAGCTTTCCCTGAAGAGCTGGTTAGTGGGTGATGGTCTCAGGTGCCCTCCAAAGGTTTGCTCACATGTATAAGACTGGTGGGCCCAGAGCCCCAAGTGCTCCATTTCCATCTCAATTTAGTCTGGGCCTTTACTCTCAGGAGTAACCACACATGACTCGAGAAGTACGTTCACTTGGGACCTAGCTGATTCCTTAAATCACCCACGATCGCCTCAACCCCACCATGTTCCCGCCTATCTTTGCAGGAAGGGCTGTAGAGTCGTACCTGGGGGATGGTATTCATCCTGTTGTACCTCTGCACCAGCTCGTCCTTGGAGGGCATCCTGTGCTGTCCTTTTCCCATTCCTGTTACAGAATAACAAAGTCCATTCATTCACCCAGTTCTCTTCCCCCCCACCCACCTGTGTTGGTCCTGGGGCTTGAACTCAGGGTCTGGGTGCTAGTACTCTACCACTTGAGTCACAGTGTGCCATTTCTGGCTTTTTGGTGGTTCACTGGAGATAAGAGTGTCACAGGCTTTCCAGCCTGGGCTGGGTTTGAACTATAACCCTCAGATCTGAGCCTCCTGAATAGTTAGGATTATAGGTGTGAGCCACCGATGCCCAGCTTTATTCACCCATTTCTTTACCAAGTAGTTGCTGACGTGCCCACAGTGCGCCAGACACTGAGCTCGGGGTGCTTGGCGATACAGCAGTGAATGAACAAATAGCATTTACGTGCCCACACAGGATTTAGTCTGGCAGAGATTACAGGCAAGGAACAAGCAATGGCCACACAATATGGTAAGAGGGGTGACGGGAGGGCACAGAGGCAGAGAAGGGATGCGAGGCCAGGTGGTGATGGGAGAGCAGAGAGAGAAGGGGATGAGGCTAGCCTAGGGCTCCAAGACCATGTTCTGCTGCAGTGATTTAGACAGCAAGGAGCTAGTGGGGGAAAGGAAGCGTTTGGAGAAGTAGCGGGATACAACACACTTGAAAGAGAGATACATAAGGGGCCACAGTATGGCGTATGGAGGAGTAGCAAGAGGTGCTGTGGGGGCAGATACTGCAGGCTATGGAGACAGCCGAGGCTTGGACACTTGGAGTGACAGGTGCCATGAGCCAGGAAGAGTGGCCAGTGAGTGGACATCTACACCTCAGGACCATGGCTGAGACATGAGTGGACAGAGCAAGCAGGGCCAGGAAGACAAGTCAGATAAGAAAACCTGAGCAATCCTTCAAGAAGAAAGGAGAAGCAGACTACTTCCACAATGGTGACTACCTGAAGACACCACCCTCCTTCCCTTAGAACATCTTTTATCCTTGTCCACAAAGGCTAGAGAAAAAGCCGCCAGCCCCTTTGGTGTCTGCCTGGTCTAAATGCTAAGTCCTCACACAGAAAAGCCTGAACACTTAAGACTCAACCAGTGGGCTAGGAAAGTGGCTCAGTGGTAGAGCGCTTGCCTTGCATGCATGAGGCCCTGGGTTTGATTCCTCAGCACCACATAAGCAGAAAAAGCCAGAAGTGGCACTGTGGCTCAAGTGGTAGAGCGCTAGCCTTGAGCTGAAGAGCTGAGGGACAGTGCCCAGGCCCAGAGTTCAGGCCCCACAACTGGCAAAAAAAAAAAAAAAAAAGACAACCAGCATCTTCCTTAGTCAGATATGAAGCTGCAGCTGCACATGGGTGTCGTCCTGGCCTGAGGGCAGGACTTTAGTCCCAGTACTGAGCTTTAGTCCCACCTCATCAGCCTCCCCCTCCCCCTCAGTGTGTGGGTGTGTGGCTTGACCCAGAGGGAGGTGAAAGGAAAAGGAAAGGAGGCTATCATAGGACACAAGCAGGATTCCAACCTCATCATTCTCTTATTATACTTGATTTTCTCATGCAGGTACTGGGGCTTAAACTCAAAGCCTCACACATTGCTTATGCTGGCCCTCTATTTGAGCCAAGCTTCCAGACTACTGATTTTGCTGGTTAAATGGAGAACCAAAGCTGGGTACCAGAGGCCCACTAGCAACTCAGGAGGCTAAGGCCTGAGGAGCAAGTTCAAAGCCAGTCCAGGCAGCAAAGTCCATGAGACACATATCCTGAGGATCATAGTTTGAAGCCAGGCTAGGCAGAAAAGTTTGTGAAACTCTAATTCTAATTAACCACAAAATGCCAAACGGGAGGCGTAGCTCAAGTGGTAATGAGCCAGCCAAACAAGCAAGCCAAGCAAGCAAGCCAAACAAGCATGAGGTTCTGACTT